TAAAGCCCGGTTCATACTCTGCGCGAAAGCCAAATCGAACGCGAATTTGTGACGTCGTGGCAAGTATTCGCGCTGCGAATTCGTAAAAGTTCAACATATTTCAACTCGGGCGAATTTCGCAGCGAATGCTTCGTGACGTCAAATTCGCTTCGCATTCGCATGAAGTATGAACCGGGCTTTAGAAGCAAGGGACAATTTGGCGACCGTATAAGGCCTACGTGAGCAAAATCATGTTTCAACGTGGAGCTTTGGGGCAAGACTAGATTTCTAGAACGACATTGTGTTGTCTTGAGACATTTTGCGGATTTGGGGACCGCATCAGCTTGTAACTGACATGGAACAATTGGATAACACAAATGAGTTCAACATTAGTCTTACAGATTGAGAATTCGTCCATGAAAATAGTTTACCCATGTATACCAAAACACGCAGCTCTAGTAAACAATGCGTTTTTCCAAAATAATGTATATCACATTATATTATGCAAAACTAAGTAGTGCAAATTTAAACAGTTTCATGTTTCATACAAGCGGTACATTTTGAATTAACTCCCCTTTCTTTAAACTCCAAAACATTATAGCCACCGATTGTTTAACTAGACCTATGCCAATAACGCAGATTGCAACGTGATATCTGCTGATGAAACAGAAAGCAATATGCGTTGGCGATTGTGTTCACATTAGCCCAAATCTCAGTTGCATGTGTAACTTGATCCTCTATACAAATATTATACAAGTTTACGTGACTATTCAGTCGGGATAAACAGTGCTTTCATAATATTCAATGATTGTAGTACTACAACGTCATTCCAGTAAAGATGTTGTTTAAAGGGCTCATCATGCAATGTTATTTTTAATGCTATCCTTTGAAAATGTACCTTTGGGTCCCATTCAACCTCATTTTCAAATGCACTTTCCAATAAAATTAAGAAAAAGGGATGTCAAAGAGTTTTTATACATTTAAGAGAAGTAGAAAGTTGCATAAAATGTGTTCCTATGAAAAAAATACCGCACGGACCCAAATGCTTTGATGGTCGCAACCATTCACACGAATACGTACAGGCCAATATTATGGTGGTTGGGGGGGGGGGGGGTCGTTCGGTTCGATCCCTGTTTAGTTGAGACAGGCTATAAGCCAGGCACCTCATGCACGACGTACTCCCCTCTGCGCGTTAGAGTCCAGCAACCACCCAGCACCCATTTGCACCCAATATTTCCTTCCTTGAGAATGTCTCTCCCAGTTGTTTTAACGGAGGGAATCACTGCAAGACACTAATAGTTCTTGGACTCTTCTTTCCCTTAAATTACAATGAAGTATCCCAACGATTATTCTGAGGAAGAAAAAAATCAGATGAAAAAATGGCATTAGTGGATTCGTGGCAGCTGGATGACAGCCGTTCTCTAACATGCTTTATTATAATCGCTCAGAACTTCGTTCTTAACTCGGCCGGGGCTTTGAAAATTGGGCTTTCGATGTTACGTTAGCGCACCTGCGCCTTGACGTCATGCACGAAGTGCAACTCTATAGCAAACCTCTCCCCGTTTGAGTATCTGGTTTTTGTCACGAGCTATCTCGCCATGGCCAATTTCAGTACGGCGGCCGGATCTTTTGGGCAACTTTTAAACTACCGCCTCCCAATTAACTGTCAATGATGTGGGTGACAAGCAGATAAGGCCTCACATCTATACATAGAGCTCAGACGAACCGTGCATGCACCAGACATTAAGTTCAACTACAGGGCTTAACGACCCCTCCCCCTTTAACGAACCCCCTCCCCCCCCGTCACAAATCAGCGAACGGGTATGGAGGAAACACGAAGAATCGCTTTCCACAAAACTATTTCGTTCAGCACATTTTATGGCTCAGTGTAATAATTCAATATCAAATCAAAAGATGGATACTTAAAAGTGTACTTTTTAAATTTGCATTCATCTTTCAAAATTACGGGGTTTTCCACGTCGCAATCAAAATAAAGTTGAACTGATTGTTGTGGAAAGGACATGTGTGTGGGACACGCACGCAGCCCCATAACGTCTGCCCCCTACTTTCTGTTGACCAGCTCCGCCCATTATGCATATACCCATGCACAACAATAGAATAAATACTATACAATTGAAATTATGTGCGGTACCTTACTCGTAAATCAAACCCTTTGACAAAGGTATTAATAAGAAACCTCGCTTTTACATAACTTACTATTACACTATACCGCCGTTAAAATATTCTCTGTGAATATATACATTTTCCGTCCGATTTTTACAACTCTCGTTAAAATAATCGACTTTAATTTAGTTATAGAAAGGCCAGTTTGTGGAATATATAGGAAATAATCTTTTTGCATAGCGTATTTACAATTATTTTGTGTCATATCTCTAGCTTAAAAAATTACAAAAGCTAAGATGTTGATTATTAATAATAACAATACCGGAGTTTTATATAGCGTACATATCTACAAACAATTAGGTTCTCAAGGCGCTGGGAATTATGTACATTGTTTGTATTTAAAGACATGTAAATGAAGTCTATGAGAAATATGTAGCACCTTATAACTATAAAGTTTTACATGGTGCTGTGGCGCATCTTGCAGCCACTGCCAGAAACACTCTCAAATTTGTATCCTTGTGGAGACATTTCTTTGTTCTCGTGTAGTAAAGTTTTCGATTTTGAAAGTGAAGTATCAAAATGCTTTTATTTTAACCCGAATTAATTTCCTTCGCTGAAATTCGGACTTACAATATCCCTTTTTTAAAACTCTTCCATTTGCGACGGATTAACCCACCTTGGAAATTCCTAGTTTTTGAGTAAAATCCATATATCTACTTCGTGAAAACCTTGTGGAGACCTATTCATCTATAGGAATTTCCCTGTGGAGACCTTTACAATGTTTTGTTCCATATTGTGTGCGTGTCTCCACAAGGATACAAATTTGAGCACACCGGGGCAAACCCCTTTACCGAAGTGTTACTGGGTTCTTTAACATTACACTTAACACACGAGACCTACGTCTTTACGTCCCATCCGAAGGACGAAGCAATAATGGTAAAGTGCCTTGCTCAAGAGCACAAGCACCATGTTCCCAAGGGTCAGGATTCGAACCCCATGTACCACGGCACACGAGTCGAACACCGTAACTAATGGACCACAGCACCCCATGATTGTTATACTCTCCTTTAACTATACAGTTTCATTTATGTTTTTTTACAAAATATTTTACAAATGTTCAAATATCTATTACTTTTTCCGTTATCTTGTTTCAATCAGGGTTTCCAATGTATTCCGAAAAACTAAACATATACCTTTTCATTCAGATCCATTAAAGTTGGTACGTATACAACTCATATTTGACAGGCTAATATTATATGTATATTTTTTCAAAGTCCAACCAAATGGAATCACAAGTCAAATCACGTTTGAGTACGCTGACAATATACCTTTCACTTTTAAAGGCAGAATAAACAATTTGTAATTTGTGCATTGTTTTATGGTTTGAACAAACAAACGTGCTTGCCATTGAAAGACAGATACTTCATCACCAACCTGATGAAGTTTCAGCTCTGTGAATGCTGTATATTTTATGAAATCAGAACAAACAAAAACACAATATTGTAGATCTCGATCTCGAGACACAATACCGAAATCAGCAATGGGGACATGGTTCTCCCCCGGCCGGCTGTCGCCCATTCAGGGTGCACCCCAGTACACAAAATTCCCATAGACATCAGTGATAATCCTATATACTTCGAAATTCTTTTTTAAAATACTCAGAACTCTCACAGGTGTTCAGGCTGCACAGAGAACTGATGATCAACATGTCGTCTTTCATTCTATTTTCAATTTTTGATGGGTTGACCATTGACTTTTCGAAACATTCTCACCCAAAGAAGACCACCCATAAAACGAATGATGTTTCCCAAACTTGAAAAGTAGCCATTTTGAAAAACATCAACAACATGGCTGAATAAATATAACGCCACTTTCGGGCCCATTGCATACAAAATGCTCCGAAGTGGATGCCCCAGGTCCAGGCCAGAGGTGCAGTGCCATCACTGCCATGTGTATTCAATTCCCCAATTCCATGGCCCTGAGTCAGAACTCCCTAATATTAAATAATTTGAGTGTATAACTTTTATTCATGGGCTCGGCGGATGGATTTTTGGCCAATTTACTGGGGGTACCCTTCACATATTCGCCCAGTTGCAAACCAATTACAAATCAGAACGCATGGGGGTGATATTCACGAAACTTTCCAAAGATGTGTCACTTGATACATCTTTGGAAATGACCTCCATTTGTCATTCTTTTTTTCAAATGACAGCATGCCTTAAGGAATAATTTTACAGGAAGTTTAGTGTCATTGCTTTCTTTAAACCAACTTAACTTCTTCACAATAATTTGTCGGTTACTCTTATAGGCATATATCTGTAAATGCTCTACTGTAAATACTGCGATATCTGTTTAATGTGGATATTTAAATAAATTAAATAACCAGTTACATGTACAATGTACATGGTTACAGAGAAAAAAAGTGCTAATTTTCGTGCTTTGAAAGGGCTAACTTCAGTTAAGGCTGTAGTCCATCATTTGCAGCCATTCAAAAAAAGTAATTGGCGTATTATTGTTGAAAAACATACTTGGTTGAAAGATAGTAAGTGGACTAACTCTCTGTGAAATTAATCTTTCTGGCAAGCTATCATTTTGAAGTAATCAACAAAAGAAGGCCTTTCCAACGGTGCGTCTTAAGACGCACCGTATGAAAATTTAAATTAGTAGTTCGTTTTGTTATTCGGCGCAGCGCGCGCAAGCATTGGCACGACGCACAGGCCCCTCGGTTGCTATAATTCGTCGGATCAGTGCGTGACATCGCGTGTAGCTGCAATTCAAAACAATTCAAAACATGATTTAGCAACTTTTGATTTGAAATTGAGATCCTAGAATGCTGTTTTTCTCGGAATATACAGTTGAAGCTGAGCTGAAACTTCATCAAGTTAGTTGTTCAGTATCCTTCATTAGATTTTGAACACTTTTGTTGCTTCAAACGAACAAAATGCACAAATTACAAATGATGGACTACATCTTTAAAATACTACAAAGGGCAAAATCAGCAACATATGGCGCTATGTGTCATTACCACAAAAGCCTAAGTTACTCCTGGGCAGAATGTTGCCATTTTCGTGGTCTCTCCTCGAGTCTGGCTTTTTAACATCAAATAAGATCCCCTCCTGCTCGTCGCTCCACGAAATGTTACGCCTCAGCACGCCACTCTGCGATGACGTAATAATAATCGAGTTCCCTGACGTCTGTATGCTGGTCTGCACGCTTGGCTCGCTGCCAGACCTCGTGCTAGTCTGCGTACTGGCGTCTTTTAAACACTTCCCGAACTCGTCAATGGAGATGGTGAACGTCTCTCCAGACTCACTGTCGTATCGCCCGTACTTAGCCGTCCGGAGATTGACAGTCACCTTATTCTCCTTGTCTTGTTTCTCCTTCTCGAAGCTGGCGTTGCGACGTTTGCTCAGCACCCTCCTGGCCACGCCCCTCGTGACAGACTTCATGCGCACCGCATTCTTCCTCTGGTAATGCTGGGTGACCTTAAACGTCAGGGTCAGCACAGCTAGGCCCAAGATCAGATACAGCACCAGACCAATTTTGTACAGCGTCCGCGTCACCACGTTGAGATTGGGTCCGTTGCCCGCAACGTAATCGCCAAACCCAATGGTACTGAGCGATATGAAGGTGTAGTAGTGCGCCACGCCCCAGGACCAGCCCTCCACAAAGTGGATGACGGTAGAGGGCAGCAGAATGATCAAAAGATACAGCAGTAGCACTAGGCTGGTGTACACGGCCACTTTCTGAGCGGTGGGGAACTTGAGAAAGGCCACTGTCTTGTCGAACTTGTCGGTGAAGCTTTTCCACTGACGCTCGGAACACTGGCCGAAGACGGCGAGAAACCAGCCGGTGAGCGGGATACCAAAGAACGCGAAGACCACACAGAACGCCATGCCTTGGCTGGTACGCGGCGACATGTTGCCGTAACCTGCAATGGAACGAAAAATGAAACATTTCCGTGAGTCAAAACATCATCATTAATTGACCAAAACTTAAAAGGCAACAGGTTTGAGCGCGTGGGGACAGTTTAATGACGCCACTTCTGGGTACAAAATGCTTGTGCGACATGCAACTTTACGTCACTTTCACATTAGATTCACAAGTACTCAAAAAAAAATGGTGTAGTTGAAGCGCCCTCGTTCGTTGAAAACGAATTAGGGGTTTTGTAATGCTCGTGGGCAAGTTTCGATGCGATACCTCCCTCAACGGTGCAAAAGAGAGAGCTTGAAGGACGCTTGAGCGTTGTTCTCCCCCCCCCCCCCAGCCAAATTCCTGACGGGTTTAGGGACCATTAGAAATGGTACACCTACGGAATGTGGCTCGAAAAAGTTGTTTGTTAAATCACCATTTTGCATGGTTATTTCATTTGGTAGACTAACGGCAATGTGCATGTCACATCAAAATGTGAATTCTGTATTCAATGTATGTGGATTTGGTGATATGAAACAGTGACAGGCTTTTTCCCGAGCCGCATATATCCTGTCTAATGGTCCCTATTATCATAAGGGTGTGAACGTTGAAGTTCCTCCTCTTCACTTTGTCATTAAACGCCAAGAATGTGTCTTTGGTCTCCTTATTATTACTGAATGTGACACCAGTCGAGTCGCAGCCCCTCCCCTGCCGATTGCAAGATACGCAAGTTAACTATTTGCAACAAGCAATGCTTCAGTTGAGGACCATCTGTCCCATACCACGTTAAGTTATCTCATGTCAGTTTTTTCCTTTGCGAAGTGGTATCTTTTTGTCAATGATGCCTTTGTTACAGCTGATAACGACGTCCAGCTTTCATGCGCGAATGATTTCGCAATCTCAAGACGCAAAAACGATTCCTTGAGGTAAAAAGAGTCTGTTTAATACTTTACAGGGCGAGTCAAAAAAAAAAAAAACCCAAATGTCGGGACCATTGTTTTAGTGAAGTTCTCAATGTAGCACTTTCAACAAACAAGCACCGTTTTGAAGTTCTGTCCACAGATCACAAAAAAGGGTGTTCTTTCAGCAAAACGAAAACAAATCACATAGGGATGTGTGTGATTTGTTTTTGTTTTGCTGAAAGAACGCACACCTCTTGTGTGATCCGTGGACAAAACTTAACGGTGGTTGTGTTTAAAATTCCGTAACTTGAAAAGTGCATGAGTGATTTGAATGATTCTTGTACTAAAAGAAAGCTTATAAATTGGGCTTTCATATCCTAGATTTTAAAAGTGACATGCAGAACTTCACTAAAACAATAGTCCCGACATTTGGTTTCGTATTTTTTGACTCACCCTGTAGAGGGAGCTTAGCAGTCCTCTGTTTGAACACAGTGCTAAGCATGCTAAGGGACGCATTTGACGATTAATTCCTGTTAAGCTCTCATTGGGTTGATTTGCTTTTACCGCGGCTACCCAGCACGTGCGCGACGCGTGTCAGCATGACAACAAGCTACCCAGAATCCTGTGCGTTTCCTTCAGTGTTTCGTGCAAATGAGATATAGCCGTCCATCGGCGCCCGTGGTGCGGCATTGGATTAGATCGAAATGCAGAAGGATTCTCACTCAAAATAAAACGAAGCCGCGGACGCCAAACTTCGTTCCGATCCAAAGCTTCGTTCTGAAAAACAAAATCGTTTTGAATGTAAATGAGAACTGGATATGGGCCGCCAATACCGACACTTCTTGTTTGCCTGACATTTGCGATTGTTTCGCTTGTGGTTCTTCGTAAACGCGCATTGTCTCAAGGGTATTATCAGATTCAACAGTTAGTGAGTGTCGCCGTCTGCTTTTATACGCCATGTCGTCTATAATGCGTTGTTCCATAACGAAAAGCGTCACAAACACGTCAACACCAAAACATCACGGAAACATATCAGTCATCACGTAATAGTAATAAATCACGTAAATAGTAATAAATAATAATTTTTAAAAATGACGACATTCAATGTGGAAATACATTCCACGAATTTTGTCGACGTATGGACCAAATCTTTACGTCAAGTTCCAGGAAAGGGGTCATTATCTAAGGCCAAATAAAAAAAATGTTTAGCGTCCCCGCCCGCTTCCTTTTTGGAGGCCGCCTCCTTTTGTTTAAACCTGAAAAATGATACATTTTAAACAGTGACATCATTTTGGCCTCTTTGTCGGTTGCATCTAGTCCATATAAAGCTAGTATGTCATTTCCTGAGTCCAAGTGGCGGCCATTAAAAAAAAGCTGGCGGCCATCTTGAAAAATAGCCCGGTCAGGTGGCCATTTTGGAGGGGGAAAAAGGGCCTTATCCTTCCTTTTTTTCAAAAAGGCAGGACGTTAAACATGTTTTTTTTTATTTGGCCTAAATGCGGCATTTTACTCTGACTATGTGTTTGTAGTCAGCTAGGTGCAAGTTCAACTGTTTTCGGGTCATATCTGTAACTAGGGTTTATTTTAGTTGGACCATGGCATTGTAAAATTTCACAAGAACCATTGGCCCATGCACTTTACTTCAGAAAGCACGATATATCCCCTCAATAATTGCTAATATTATTATGCTTAGATACCAACCGTCATCAAGATACACCTGCGCTTGTCAAAGAAACGTGAAAATATAGTGTTAATCTTGAGTTTTGCCATACTCATAATATTTTTTCCCCAACAAGATAATCGATGGTACCACAAACTTTGTATTCAGAGGCCGATTATTGCCCCGCTTTTAGCACAGAGTATCCAATCCCCAGACGGCGCTCAACTACGTTTTCGTGTTGTCAACAAGTTCAGCCCGAAACACTTCTTTGACTACAATATTGAGAAAAAAAATTAACATAGGCAGTGGTTTTGTACCGTATTTTGTGGCAGGGATGCAATTCGATTTGCTAGTTCCATCTGATTGAGATTAAAAGGCCCGCGGCTAATGAGAATTGCTGGCTTACACAGACACCTGCTCGTAGAAGCACATTGTGTAAGCTCCTCAATTTACCAACGAAACTAAGGAAGTCGCAGACGAACATGTGAAAACAGGCATTATGTATGCACCAAACGTTTTAATTCAGATATGGCTTAAAATAGAGGCTCATTACTAAATCAAACAGGTTCCTGGTATTTTGCGGTAAAAACAGTATTAAAATAGCAGAGGTGACGTTTTCGTAGATTTGCGGGCCTCCACTGACGGCCTTTTTATTTAGCTATTTCATTTGAATGTGAAGTTCTGCCATATTAATTGATCTTACTCGAAGTAAACAATAGAAATGAAACAAAAGCAATGATTTAGTAAAACATACATTGATATTTTTTTTTTTATATTACACAAAACTGTATCAAGTGACACAGTTTCTTTCAAGACAACAAAGGTGGCCGCAGATTCAGCGTCCAGTTAAATGCTGGTTCCCATATACAAATGTGCAAAAGGGAATCTAAATTTGGTGATACTAAAAGTTTGCAATCGGGAACTAAACTCCGGGTTCTCTCAATACGTGAAACCTTGGGGATTTCACACGAAGTGCGTAGGGACTTCACCATCTTTTTTCCTTCTCTTTTTGGAAAGTAAATCATGCAATGAATTGAAACATGTTTATAACATTGGCAAAATCCTGACGTGTTACGTCTTCAGAGCTATTTGTTTTCCGTAGAATCAGTGATATGTAGGAAATGGCCTATTTTGCAAACTGGCATTTGAAAGGAACTGAACGATACTTCTTTTTTAACAAAAAAAAATTAAAAATTCTAATTTAGTCAGGCTAAATGAAGAACATTCAATGATTAATATTTGAGCTGTAACATTATGTTAACCGTACGTGAATGAAAGTGGCTATAATCGTCAAAGAATATGTTTGCTTGGATATATTTAGGAACCGTTTAGGCCAAGAAACCAAGACAACAAAGAGACAATTAACTTTTTTTTTTACATTAAATGATTTACAAATGAGCTTGTCTCTGCATGCATATTTATATTGCTGGGACATATTTTCTTTTCGTCTACAATTACATACGACTGTGAACTCTCGAAAAAAGTGTTTTTCACATAAATGGCGAGAAAAGATCTACAGGAATACTGGAAACTGCATAATTACGACTCAAGTTTGCAAAATTCCTGAAAAAACACCACACATATAGCCCCGCTGCTGCACGCATCATGTATTGAATATTTGTACTTGTTTGTAATGTAGAGCTCTGAAGTTACGCCAGTAATTTTGAAATTGTCAAGATTGTGCATGCAATCACTGAATAAGTTATGTTAGGTTATTTTCTTTTATGATGGATTCAAATATCAGAATACATCAGTTTGGTATAAACTTATCCTGCAGACAAAGAGAAACAGCAAATTCTACATAATACTGAAAAAAAAAACACATTATCCCAATACAGTCAAAATAATTAGGTGATTGGTTAATGTGACAGTGTCTACGGCGTGGTTTATAAAATGTTCACAATTTTTCAATGAAAAAAACATGACGTCGGCACAATGACAACGGTGTTTTGTTCCAGGATCTTGTTCCATGGTGACTCGCTCTCATCTTTCCAGTATTATCTTCGTGGTGCTCTTATGAGTTTTGTTATGGTTTTTTTCACCCCAGTTGTGAGAATCGCAGTCTGTCATGATCAAATTTTAATTCCACATCAGGGATACGATTCATTATTCATTCAAGATAACCATTACCTCACAAACAACGGCATATAATATAACGTACGCATTAACAGGCTGTCATTTCAATACGCGCAAAATAATGTATGACCAATCTCGTTCAAGCATACACATTAATTATTCTGTACATGTATTTCTCCTGGGGTTCGGGCAGACAAAACAACAGTACGGTCATTTTGTTGGAAAATAAAAAAACATTTCTGAATTCTGCGTTTCAGAAAGATCAGAAATTTGAATTCCGTTTGGACCTCGAAAGTCCAAATCCAACTGTAATTTTTTGCGCTTCTTTTTGATTTACTAGTTAAACAAGACAAAGCAAGCCTAATAAAGATGATCACAAAG